GTTGATCTCACAGTGCTTGCCTACAAGTCACACGAAATAGTCTAGGAAACGCCACTGAAGAGGGAAAAAGCAGTTTAGGAGATCTAGCAGTGAGGATAAGGTTTTGTCCATTGGACTGGGACAACGAGTACAACGAGTGTGGAAGAACAGAGGCTGGCACAAATTTTAAGACTAATATTTTGGAAAACGGAGAACTTTTTAAGTTTGAAAGCTTAAAAAGACAATCTACGAATTCTCAGGTAAATATTTTCAAAGTGATTGCACTAAGAAATATTGGGTGACAAAGTAACTCGAAGATTTTGCCCGAGTCAATATCATTAAAAGGGAATTCTGATTAGTTAATGAAAACAGTCTGATAATTGGAGTCTGTTTTAAGGCTAAAAAGGACATTGACACATTCATCGACATTGATCGTCGGAGATCGGGTGGCCGACCAACTAAAACATTGATTTACATAGTCTAGAAGTCGGCGGAAATTGTCAGAATCGCTCGAGGGAAAACCAATCACCCCTCAACAACATACTTGCAAGCGAACGTGTTCGAAGGGAGAGAAAATTTGTTAATGTATAGCGGATAATAAGAATGGAGAAAAAAGAGCACCCTGAAAATTCTCGGAATTAAACTTTAGAAAGGCGGAAGAATTTGCCATTGCAAAAAGTGATTTACGTCCCATGTGAGAAGTAATCGATGGGAAACCTGTCTCATCTTTATTCATCGTTGCTGGCGATTTCAGCGGATGGGATGTGAGTTTTGAAATGCTTATGTCCCTTCGGAACATTGCTACTTTTTCCACTTGAGATGATGCCTCCTTGGACCACTTTTTCGTTAACGATTTTTTTCCCGTGCCTTCAAACGTGCACCAGTAGGCAATTTCGATCACTGTCTAATTAAGGTTTTACCTACAATATATGGTAAATGTAAGCAACAAATCCTCATGAAGAACAATGCACGTATACTGCAAAATCATCTGGTCAATTCGATGGGATTAAAATCCATGGTTGCCGGTACGGACTTGCAACAACTCTTCGATCCTGGTATTTCAGTCTTCTGTGAGGACCTTAAAAATTATCTCAAATATTGTTATGATGTGTGCTGCCCTCTAGAAAAGATTCACCTACAGACCAACCGCTTCATCTCTGATAGACTGAACTGGTCACGTAGGCTGAAAGAAAAGGCGCATCGCTTAGGAGATAAGCTGACGGGCAAACCTGTCAACTTTCATATCAGAAGCAAGATAACCCATCTCAATCAGTTGTATGCCAACACCGTGCTAAGCGACAAATCCTGCCGTCAGCTATGGAACGAACTGAAGTTGCTCTGTAGTCGTTCAACTTTACCTACTACATTCTCATGTGATATCAATGAGCTCAACAAATCCTTTGCTTCATTGAAAAACGTTGTACAAGCTTCACCGAGTCCAAACACAAAGTCACTTAATTTCCACCTTCCTGTGTCTGTCACAACAGAGCAACTTTTAAAGGAGTTAGATTCTGTCAACAGAAATAAATCCGCTGGTCCCGATGGGTTATCCTTAGTTCTTCTTAAAACATGTGCGAAACACCTCACACAAACCGTTTTATTCATCATTAATACATATCTGTCAGAAGGTAGACTAGTTAAAACATGATGTGATGTTTGCATGACACCAGTACCTTAGAAAGAAAAGGGTAAGTTTCGGTCAATTGGTTCATACTCAGTATTACCTTAGACTTTTGAGCAAATTATTATTGAGCACCTATCCTCTAACCTTGATTTTCGTGATTCCGATCAGTTTGCTTATTGTAAGCGTCGCTCCATGCTAGATGCGTTTGCTTGTATTATACATTCTGTTCAATTCACTATAGATCAAATACACAAAATTAATCGTGTTCTTTTTGGACTACACAAACGCTTTTAACTCTGTTGAGAGTAAAATCCTATAGTCATTGTTACAACAACATAATCTCCCTCCACATCTTTTGAATTGAATGCACGACTATTCTACCGACCGACGCCAATTCACTTATCTCAACGGTATTAAGCCCTACACTGTTACTGCAAACCAAGGTATGATGCAGGGTGCAATTTTATCCCCTTTTCTGTTCTCCTTTTACATCCAAAACTTGCCAGTCACCCCAAATGTTTTCAATTTTAAATATGCCGATGACATAGTAGTTGGTGGTGCATCTCACAACAACAACCCTTCAATCAGCCATAAGTACCATTTCTGAATGATCCGATTGTGTTAACCTTTCTTTAAGCCCAAACAAATGCATTGAAGTTTTGTTTTCCGTTAACCGTAGGCCATCAACACCTTGTGGATCGACGTTTCCAAATCAATAACTTAAAAGTTGAAAGATCACAACAATTCAAATATCTTGGATGTTTTCTGTTTGCTGAACTCAAATGGTCCTATCACGTAGAGCAAACATTTTTCAAATTCAGAAAGTTGACCTGGTATATTTCACGCCTTCGGCATCTGAGCGGGCCGTTGCACATTATTTCTAAATTTATTTTCTCGTGCATCTTATGCCTTTGGACTTACTGCTCACACGTTATCTGTAGCTGTATCTTATGAGGCGCTGGTTGATTCCATTGTCAATCAACACCTTAAGGCGTGTGTTACTGTTTGTGTGACTCTATCTTGTCCGATGCATCACATCCTTTACACTCAGCCCTCCGTAGCTCCATTTCAACTTCTGTGACCCGCAATAAATTTACACCTTTATATATTCGTACCTTACATCTCCCGTTTTTTTGGTTTCCAGGGAACGAATATCAAACGAACTTATACACAGTCTATTGTAAATTTTCACGCTGAAGTTTTTCTTTATTTGCTACGCGTTTCCGGGCCCTATTCACTATCATCTAAGTAACTATTTGTCATACATTTTAACCCATTTCGAATAGTGTGCAATGCCAAAGCAAAAGTGATGATACGTTTTCACGGAAAAATTCTATCCACATTGGATGAATAAAGTGCACTCGTGACTTGATTTGACTGGTTCATCCAAATTGTACTCAGTCAACTTGTCTAAGACCAACCTAAACAATGGTACACATTCAGTATTGAAAATCGGTTCTCGTAACTCGGGTGAAATGAATTCCATTTCGGCTGTTCACCACTCCACAAGCACTGACGATATCACCTCGGCGGGTGAATAAAACGTTTGCGAACCAACTGCCAAGGTCGGCGAACAGGCGAAATGGTGTAGATTCCGTGTGCATGTTTGGGAGGGCGGGAATAAGACAAAGGACGCAAACGGATGAAAGTTGACGAAAACTATTTATTGTATCCCTAATGCATGGATTGTGGATTTATTTTCATTTCCTCAGCTTCCAGCACGATTGAGAATGTTGAAGCATACTTTTTCAGTTGAATTATTAAGGAGCTAAGAAGACTTTTGACAACGTATCGAATAGATCAGTGCTTCACACACGGTGTGGATAATCCAGTATGTGGACACCGCGATAGGATAATATGAGGTGGGATATCCGTTTAAGGAAAAACATTTGTAGCATCAAACCGTTACCAAGTCAGCACAGTTTGAGACGATTCATGATACAAGTTGACTGGATGTCTCATGAATGTTTTTAATATTTCAATGTACAATTTCCTGACCAGATAGGATTACTGACTGGATGCATTTTGTGCCATTCGGGAGACCAAATGACCGGAAGAATAATAACATTGAGGGACGCATAAACCACTATTCCTGGAAAGCTATCGGAATACACGTGGTAGCTACTTGCAGGTTAAAATCCCATAGTAGACACTGTCGAACCAGGGCACTTGTCTGTGGTGGACAAAGCCGGATCACTCGTTTTAGATGAACCTCCAAGTTTGAGTCAGTCCCGTATTGGGAGCGGATGTATGCGCTCGAACTTGTACGGAGCAAATTTTCGGCCGCTTTATCGATCTAGGTGACTGGTTATTACATAAACATTCCGGAGAACTGTGTCACCCCTCTCCCCCCGCCCGAGATCTTTTAATCGATCAATCAATCGGATGACGATACTGACTGACTCTTCCCTCCTTATCCCAAATCTGAAGAGGTAAATGTAGGTGGTTGTACGGATTTGAAAATGAATCGTTAAAATCATAGTTTCTTCTGTACGGCTGAAGTTAATCTGATGGAACACCCACATAGCTGAAAGTTGCGGCGGGATGCGCTCACGAAACTTCAGTGCTGGATTTGAATTCCATTAGACGCGCTGAGTATAAGGTACTGATAACCCAAGGTAAAAGGAGAAGTTGGCCATAGGCTTTCATGAAGTATGAGGGCTTTGTGTCACTGTTAAACCAAGAAGTAAGTCGCTTAAATTGTGCCGCGGGTGAAACCGGCAGCGTTTTGTCGCACAGCACATTAAGCTTTTCATTGGGCCGCTTGAAACTGTTAGGACCGTGACATGTTCATAAGGCAATTTTACAATTATTTGGCTACCTCTCACTGGTGTACTCTGCACGCCGTTTACAGTTCTTAGTTTGCACGAGACGTCTGGTCGGTTTGAAAACACGCACTCTGACACTCTTTCAGCCTGTATACAACACAATGCATGGGAGGATGCTTTTAGTTTTCTTAAACGCTGTGGTGAGACAGTTGATCTCTTCCCGTTACTCTTGTGAGCTCATCAATGCGGAGTGAGTAAGTGGAATAGTTTAAGCCCGAGAACACTAATGAAGATAACAATAAAAAATGCAAGTTGATCTTAACAGAAGCATCATCACCAGTGTTTGCAACATTGGGCTGCATCACTGTGTCTCTAACCATCGATTACGTCAATTACGAGGGTGCAAGAGTTAAGATGTGGAAGTTGTGTCAGTTTGATCTCAAATGTCAGTGAACTTCTATCAGTTCTGTTGGAAACCACATAACTGATTCAGTTTTAATGTGTCGTTTTTGTTTACTCAACGCTGTAACAGTAACCACCGAGCCTATATTTATATGCCCTGCGCATCTCTGCACACTTGTTTATGATATCCCATGTGATTCATTCTTTCGATTTATCAAACCGCACAGGTCATCGCGTTCCAAGCTTCGGCTGCGCAGCCATTTCGTTGGACTCAGTGCGCCGTGTGGACCACGGTGTTATCGCTCCTAACCGCGACGTTTGTCGGTCTCTGTGGCCTAGCCACATTCCACGAGAAACCTCGAGTGATCCGAAGCACCAAAGAAGAGCTACGCTGTTACACCTGTGACAACTATGCCAGTGTGGGCTCAGGTGGTCGTCCGGGAGCAGCTTCCGGTTTGGCGTGGATGGGTGGAAAACCGGTTCTCACTGGTCAAACTGCCCAGTCGAATACCGGATCAATGAATGGCGGAATGAATGCAATTCAAGCGTCCCGTTTGTGTGCGGAAAAAGTGAATCGCACAGCAATGAGAGCTCTAATCACCTCAAAGAGTTACGGTTTGTGCTCTGGTGTGGCATTTGATGGTTGTGCGAAAATTGTGACCAAAAGTTATCGGATCAAGCCGCAAGCGGGCACACTAATCCTTTCGGCTGTGGTTGTTTCCCGTACCTGTGCACACATACCCGAAGGTTTGGGAATTGGATGTTTTGACACGGTCGGTGGGGCAGAAATCCGACAGCGAATTTGCTATTGTCGGGGTCCGTTTTGCAATGGGACCGCAAAGAACAAAGCCATCACCGGATGGACAAGCTTGCTCATTATTTTGACTCATTGGTTGTTTAACCACTAGAATAAATGTGTTCAATCCAATAAGTTTATATTTTTCCTCTAAATTAATCGAAAGGATCCATTGCCGTAACCCTGGCGGTACTGCTAAACACGTATCAAACTGAGAGTACATAGGTTAACGTTCTTCTATCCAGGGTGACGTTCTAATTCGAAGCGAACGAGAGCGGCTTGACCATAGATCGGGAATAATCAATATCCTACTTGTTTAGGACAGTCCTTTCTTGGATAAGAAAGATATTTCTGTAAGTATTTTTCACATTGATTCACTTTTTAAAACACATTTTGAGTCGGATTTGTGGTAGGTGACATTTTTTTAAACGGAACAAATCGATAAGCTCGGTACGGGGCAGGTAACAGCTCAAAAAAAACGTACGGGATACGGGTAGAGGTTCTCTAGATAGATAGATCAGGTAATCGCATGCTTTCACTAACTGAATTAACTTGCGAACTACGGCGATTGTCGCATTTAGAAAGAAAAAAAAATACAGTACTGGCCGATTGTGATGCACTAAAATATTTTCTTTATGATCAAAGGGAGTTTCGTTATATTTATCACCCGTATTAATGCTTTAGGTATGAACAAAAATGTATATCTTGTCTACTTCAATGTACATAGTTTCTGGGCTGCATGATTGTCAATTAAACGTGCCTGAACTTGAGTGCCAAGAATAAATGATCTGAACATGAGAATCGCGAACTGTATCAAGTATGATAACGCAATACTTTTTAATAAGAATGACTCAAGAATTATCCCAAATTATTTCCGTCAACCCTTGCCATTTCCCTTATTTGTAATGAGGCATTATTTTATCTAATGTATAATCCATTATAGCAACGCTATTGGATAACCAAATGAAATTCTTTCATAACCCAGAGAAATTGCATTCAATAAGGTTTCATAATAATAATCTATATTTGATATCTAACTCAATCAATTCGAGAAAAACCACCTCAATCAAAGTCAACCTAGTGTACACAAACTTTACATTTTGCTTATTATCAATGTTAATTTGTTGTTAATAAGATCTGTTCCATTCTCTTTAGTTACCTCTTAACTCATCATGGTCTAGGTCAAGCACTACTGACGAAATGGGATTATCCGCTACATTTTGAACCATTCCATCTGCTGAGCATAAACGATTCAGGAAAATCACGGATATAAAGACTCTCCAAGACTTGTTCACTATTAGTTTTGAAAAAAAATTTACTTCAGTATAAATGCTGTTGCCCATACGAACCGACAAGTGTTTCACAGGGACCTGTTGCTTCAGTTTCGATTAGATCTGTAGATCAGCGAAATAGCTTTTGTTTTCTGATACTACACAACCGCGACGCATATTTCTGTTGTTGCTGCGTTAGTCACGACGAGGAGAAAAGTTCACATTCCCGTATAGTGTTTTGTTTAGTGTAGGTTTTGGACAATAATTTGGTCACGAATTTGGAGATTGTAATGAAAGGTTGAACGTCTACGTGGAGAAGAAGTGGGATTGAAAATAAAACTGTGGGCAGGATAGTTGGGCTTCAAGGGGAGAATAAAGTCAAGTGATTGAGGATGAAATCGCTTGATACGTTTCCTTGACAACATTAGTGAAATAAGGAATAGTGTCTCGAGGTGGATTCCTTGGCCATACTATAATAAATTTTTCTTGTTTCAGGCTGCTTGCCTTTAAGTGAAGACTGGTCAGTTCCATGGAAGGATCATTGATTAATGATTGAAGCATGACAGAAATGGTCCCCATGGGGCCTTTTGTCACTTTGAAGACAAGTTTGTCACCTTTACACTATCAAAAGGGACATGGGGATAACAATGACTTGATTAATGGGTGACCAGACTGATACCTGGCATGACTTAATTTGAAAACATTTTTGTTACCCTCTTCCCGATAGATCGTTCCACGAGGGAAATGCCGTCTCTGACCGTCAGGCACCAATAAAGCAACATCAACCGGTTCAAGGTAAACGAACTCAGTGAGTTTTGACAAAGTATAGAAAGTTGGTTCTCGTAGCTCCGGTGAACTGAATTCTATTTCGCCTGTTGGCCTGTGAAGTGGCCACTTCACAAGCACTGATGGTGTCACCTCGGCTGGTGATGAAACGTTTGCAAACCAATTGCCAAGCTAGAAGAACAGGCGAAATAGAATTCGGTGAGTTTTCTTCTGTCACTCATAGAAATCAGCTCTACTGAACGTTGGACAACCTGCGGTTCCCATTTTAAAAGATAGGAATCTTGAATTTATTGACTATAGCTTTTCAAAAGTAAGCGGTAGGTAATCGTTAGCTGGAGCTGAATGCCATCATCGTGTTGCTAGTGAAAGTACTAGTACATAAAATCCCGAAGCGATATAGAAAAGAAGTTTCCTGATAGTACAGGGTGAACATAGCCATCAAACAGCTGTGTACGACGCTTGGCAAATTGAAATATTTCATCCCATTTGTCCGAGTGTACGGTTGACTATAGAAGAACTGAGGATTGTTCGTGAAGGTAAAGTCTGAAGGATGGTATACTCAGTATTTGTACTTCCTATTAGATCACCTTCGTTTGGAAGATTGACAGACTTGGGGATACGGGGAATACTGGAAAAGGGTAATGTGTCTCAGTGCAAATCTAAACAAATGATAAACACCACGAGTTATACCACTCGTTTGGTGATTTTCTTGTCTGTGTCAATTTTTAATTGCTATATTAAATTTCCCAATTTTTCACACACACTGTGGTTATGTGGTCTGCTGAATATCCATCCCTAAGGGTGTTGAGAATGCAATTTCTTGACTCGATTTGACCGGTATACTGAAGGACTGTTCAGTCTTTTGTGTCACAAGTTTGCTCGTGTATATCTGAATGTACTGAAACCAATGCTTATCGGTTTTAATAGTATGTGGGGTTCTCTTATAGCTAAAGTGAGATTTTTCTTTAGTCGTGAACTCAGGCTCAGCTAGAACGTATTGGGGAATTCTTGGATCAGATAATAATTTATTCCTACGATGTAATATTCATGAGTTGTTCGCCAATCATGCAATAAGCAATTCCTCTGCCAGTAGCACAGACTGAAATAGTGAAACTGTGTGTAAAAAATATATGTGCAGTCCAGTAACGAAATACACCGTTCTCTATACAGTTTGTTTGTTACACACGATCGAGTGTGTAGCACGGAATCACTTTGGCTGCCACTCCGAACCCCAACCATTGGTCGATCGATCTTTGGCTGATCATATGCACTTTTCTGGATCACCTAAGTTCATTCATTTTTGTGCCAGGTCGAATTATTTGTGTTATCAATCGCACAACTAAAATGCCAGATCGATTTCCTCTCTCGTGCAGGCTGCGGACAAACGACTACGATTGAGTGTATCTACATTGTTTTGATGAAAAAATGGCGGTAGGGGTTGATTGGTTTTGCGAGCGAAAAAACGCAAGTGTTTCAAGATTTCGTTTATATACACCAATTGCTACAGTAAAACGAGCTGAAAGGAAAATCTCTGGTAAGCGGACGAGTAACTGCATTTACCAGGTTATCAAAATTAGAAGTAAAAGTTGAACACCAGTTTATGTGGCTCGAACGCATCAGTAACGTTTGGGATCATGCACGTGTAGATGGCGCAGTCGAATTAGCAACGTTTCGCGGATAAAGTTACGTAAGAATGGTCTAAAAGATATGGTGAAAGTGGTGGTCTTTAGATGCCATGAGAACAGATTATCTAGTGATTTGCATTTGTGTGTTTATGAATAAAAGTGGAACTTAGTTCTTGCGCCCGAAAATTCCAGCTTGAAGTACACTAAAATGCGCCACTGGTTTCTGTCGAATCCATTGGTACGAATAGCGAGGCATATATGTGCAACTCAGTTATATCTGAGTAGACCTGTGGTATAATTGATATCGATTTGAATAACTATCCGTGAGACTTCATCTTCACGTACACTTCTCAATTCTTTCAGTTAAATATACTTGGAAGAACTAAACTAGAGTTTCGAGCTTGTTAGAGTTCATCAGTAGTGCATATCCACCGTCCCGTCCGGATTTGGACTCGGGACCCATCTCATGAAAAGCGTTTGTGTTACCACTATGCCAACCAGCTCGTACCAGAGAAGAATCGAAATGCCAA